AGGATGTCATTTTATAATAACCTGTATATGAGAAATGAATTTCGGTAATAAATTGTTTATGAATGAAATGTCTTGGAATTAAGTCGATCATCCTTACCAAAAGTCTAGTTTGAATGTCATTTGACATATAGATGCATGCTATGATCTGAACAGCTCATTTTACTTGGTTAAACAGCTTTATAAAAAATAAAACTTGATTTATTGTATGTTACATAGAACTACCCAGCAAGTTTCAAATAATACAATATTTTTCACAATACAATCTCATTTGGATAACAAATTTAGCGTAGTAGGGAGCAGATCGTGACCTCAATAAGAAAAAAATTAAAAACGCCATTTTTCTGCCAAAAATCAATAAGGCAGAAACATTTTCAACCTTGATCTATAAATCAGTTAAAAATCTACAAGCGTTTAGAAAAAAAATTTAATAAATACAATGAAATGATCAAAACAATGCTAGGAACACAACGTACTACTAGATTTAAAACTCTCTCTTTCACTAGAATTATTTGTATGACGTGTTCAAATTGCCAATGAATTTACCTGTTTATTAGAGGACATCTGCAACAACAGAGTAATTATTGTTTCTTTTTTTCTCTACATTTTGATAAACTTGCATTGGAACTTTGCTGATTATTACGCTCAGGGGGAGCAATTACAGTCTTCTATTTGTGTCAAACAAAACAAAGATGACATTGGCGCTCCTTATCATATATTCAGTTCAAAACAGCAGATATTGGAATATATTTCATTCGAAAGATAAATATTAGCACAAATATTCTTGAAATCATTATGAAAAAAAATTCTTCCGATGAATTTTTTTCTTAAAGACAAAACACGGTTTTGAACGGTGTATAACATTTCTTTTTTCCATTGGGAACTCTCCATGTTTTTTACTTGATTTTATCTTGGTTTTTCCTAAGAATGATCGTCAATCGCATCTTTGAAGGATAATTGCATATAAGACGGAAAGTAAAAATACAAATGAAAGTTTTAATAAGTGCTTAAATACAAAACATTGCTAGGAATGCTTTCAACAACACGAACTACTAGTTTTTAAAACTTTCTTCTAATCATTCCCTTTTTTTAGTTGTAATTCCCATCATTTTGTCTACTCATGTCATTGTCCTTTAAGCTGATAACAATCGCAAACGTTTAATCAAAAGAATATTCTAAATGACGTGGCATTGTACGTGTACATTACAATTTTTTAAGTTATATTGTCAGTTGTCTTCAAACTATCTCGACGAGTGATTTGTTTTCAATTAAGCTAAGCACATACTTTGTGAAAGAGATGTTTATCTTTAGATTAACATCATTTTAGTAACGATCTAGATTTTGTCTCTCATTTGACATTTGCCTCAAGTAACATAGAAGAAAGTTCGAGAAGACGAAAATATTAAAGCTGTTGGTTAAAAATTAATCAATTTTTTTTCAGAAATTGAACATAAAAGAAAATTTTTACGAATAGTTCAGAGTTTGTGGTTTTATTTGACCCATGTGAAATAACTTTTTACTTATTTCTTTTATAATTTATTTCATGCTCTGGAATAGTAGGTGGAATTATCCGGAATCTGCCCTGCATTACACCCATCTCCTACACAACAAAAATGACAGGTGTACTGTCCTGACATTGGAACACTTCCATATTGCAGACAGTAGTCTAAATCAGACGTCTGGTGGAGCCACTTGTTTCGACACTCTTGCTCTGACACGCACCTAGTAGATAAAAACCCAGCAAAAAATTATGTAACTTACAAAAGTGCAAGAATTTATTTAATTAATACTAATTTATATATCTGAACATGAGATGATTCCCTTTTTCAATAAAACTTTTTAATTCTAAGGAAAAATAACTTTCAGACTTTTTCCCCAACTACCTTTTAAATGTTTTAGGATATGGACTCTCATCGTGAACAATATCAGTCATACAGAAATCCTCCCCCGCAGCACAGCTCTGTAAGTTACCTAAGTAGATGGTCCTCGTGTCGCAGGGCAAAGAGTTATCAGCGTTTCCACACGTGTGACACATTCTTACCGCTATCAGTGAAAAAACAAAGAGAAGTTTTAAACACAACTGTTTTCTCAATGATTATGATATTATCTTTTTAAAATAATATTTTTAAGGATAATGCTGGCAATATAGTGATTATAATAAACATACTAAGTAATTGCTGGAATATACACTCAATCACAGGTAAAAAGAAATTTTCAATTAATATATAAAGGAAAAGAGTCCACCAATTTTTTGAAATACATGTATTGTTGGGTTTTTTTTCATTAGAATTAGCTATGTTTTACTCTTTTAAGTTACATACATAAAAAAAGGTAGGATAACCTGAATGTGAAGTTGGTGAGCCTGTTGTTGTTGTTGTTTTTGCTGATGTTGTTGTCCTTTCAGAAATTGTTTGTTCTGTGGTTGGCATTGATGTTGACGATGTTGTTGTAGGAGCAACTGTTGATGTCAAGCATTTTGTTACATTTTTCATAACTATTTATTGTGAGCAAATGCGAAGCAACGGAGCATGTAAATAAGGTGTGTTGAAAAAGTTCGATCCATGTCGAACTATTTTCAAAAATTTTAAAGCGGTGCTTAACTAAAGAGATGAATTTTCAAGTGTGACAAACGTGTGCTTTGGAATCATATCAATTCATTTATCGCAGGACGTTATCGGATTTCTTTTCCATATGAAAAAATACATGTATATAGAATTATTAAAGCACCCGAATAATAGAAATGGTGGTCATTTTGAGTAGGCATAAAGGAAACTTTACTTTTGTTTCTTTATAGCTTATTTTGCATCAGACAAGCTGATGAGTGTACATGTAGGTATAAGATCGATAGATCACTTTCCAAAAGAATAGCTATAGGTTTGTCATTTTGAAATTTTTCACCGACTTGATAATTTTTGCATAGTATTTGAAAGGATGTTATGACGTCAATTTGTGTCAATAAACATCATTCCTTATCACAGACATCATTTGTTTTAATACCTACACTCCCCTTATTGATTTTAAACCTTATCAATAGCAAGAATGGACTCCGTTAACATGAAATATCACAAACTGTAAATATCTTCTCATCGTATTTCTTTTCAAAAATAAAAGAAAAATGTGGAATGAAATTTCTTAACATCCTTTATATCACAATAGCTAATTAAGTTCTGTAAAGGGAAATGAATTTAAAGAATATTTCTGTCAAATGAGTACATCTTTATTTTTACACTTATGTTTCAGTTAAAACTTTAACAGTTTATAAATTTTTCATTGATTAACATATAGAAACACATTATAAAAAATGTAAAAAATAGGGAAAAATATTTATTAAAATATCTTTTTAAAAATATTTTTTTCAGTATCAAAAAACCATCACTGCAGAAACAAAATATGTTTATAATGCAAGTTGGACTTGGATAGCCTCTGGAAAGTTGTTTTCATTTTGTCCAAATGTTAAGACTTGAAAGCGGGCGGGTTCTACAGGGGTCGTGTCTTTATACATGTCATGCTTTCAATAACAGCAGGAACCAGATCAATAATGAAATATTAAATCAAAGAGGAAATTGGTGTTTTATTGTTGCAAATTTTCCGAGAATTTTTCTCAAAAAATATCTTTTTTTAAATATTTGTTATCAAGTGATACTTTATATATATTAATCCTGTCAACATTTTGACTATAGCACACATAGTTTTGCTATTGATAATTTTCCTTTTCTTTGAGAGGTCAAAGGGTAATAAAATATCAATATTTTAATTATCAAAAAAATGTTGACAGACAACACCCAAAGGAAGGGCCATTATTGGTAGATTTTATGTTCAAATTGTTTTTTCCCCTAAAGAAGTGAAAAATACAGAGTACAGATCAATATTATTAAAAACTTCTCGAATGGACGCTATACAAACAAACCTATACAGGTGCATCTGTGGTTATAACATCGTCCAACTTTCTGATTCGGGCAGCCATGACATTCAGTACTTCTGGAACAGGGCTGGATGGTAGTTGGCTTATGGGTTGTAGTGAAAATATATGTAGTAAATTCATATACGATTTTAAAAAACTACTACATGTATATTTTTTTCTTTGAATTGCTTTAAAATCGTATTAAAACTTTGTTCATTCCACACCTTTTCTTGAAATTACATATTGAGTCAAAATCACATGTTTCATTATTTAAGGATATTTTAATCATAAGCGAAAGATTTATTAAAATTATTAGTGTAGCAAATATATGAAAATTTTAACTGTACTGTGAAGCAACTTAAGAAAAGAGTGGGTTTTTTTACATAACAGGTCCAGTCCAAAGACTATCTCTACCTATGTAGGTATTCAAACATACCTAAAAGTAGCTATTTTTACCTTCTTTCTGCTTTACTTGCATTTTGTGGCCAAAGAATTTCTTGATACAGTCACATTGATGATTAGTATAACAAAAAAATGGCCAAAAATGATTACTTCGTATATTATCAATTTTGCATAGAAACTAAATTTAATGTAAAATTCCTGATTCAGGAAGTAATCATTTTTTGGCCAATTTTTTATCATATCCATCATTAGTGTGACTATATCCAAAAATATGGTACTCACCGTGTTGCGCCGTTCAGTCATTTGGCCACAAAATAAAGATAAAACAAAAAGTAGGTAATTATAGCTATTAACAGCTACGTTGGTAGAAATAGTCTCTGGACTGGACCTACATAACACAATCAGGAATTGAACAGAATGGATCATGGAAAAATTCTATTTTAGTCATTTTCCCGTGTCTGCGTCATGTGTTGCCTTAAACTTCGATTCTACATATCAGCTAAAACTAAGTTAACTCTATCATAAACCACCTGTTCCTACTCTTTTTATTTGCCCTAACTGAAAATATCCTACATGGTTTATTTAAGAAATAAACAACAATGTTGAAAAGTTCTCTTGGAAATTAACTTTTAGTTGGCCATTTGATCAAATCCTGTGAAGCCCGAAGGGCTTCTCAGTAGATTTGATCACATACCCTTCGGGCTTCACAGGATTTGATCACATGGCCAACTAAAAGTTTATTTTCCAGTGAACTTTTAAACATTGTTGTTTATTACTTATATTTACATTTGAGACAAATACATGCATTTCGAGTTAAATTTGTAAATTATTACAAGAACAAAATATCACCTCGCTCTGTGATTCCGTCGCGCTATGACCTCTGACCCCCAAATAACATTCACACAGAATTGAACATATTTTCTTTTCAATAGGTTCATTTAAGAAAGATACTTGCAAATGTAAATATAAAACATTAAAATCATTAAAATTTCGAACGATCAAATGAGGATTGATACGACTAGTATGCAGTAAATTGTACATACATGTACAAGTGAACACTCCGGAAACACGGAATTTACATCTTGTAATGCTAGTTTAATTAGGATTGCACTTGTTGGACATAATTACACTGTTACAACATCATTTCACTACCACCTTTATAACTTGTATTTTACTATCATAATAGATCCCAGATAGATAAATCATTGATAGATCCCATTCAGACACCTTTTTCAGTGACAGGAAAAGACAATTATAGTAGAATTTCTCTATCAGGCATTTAGCATTAATTTACACTGACATTGTGCTATCAAATATATCCGTATAATTAAGCATTGTTATTTCACTGTCGGACTTATACTTACACTGAAATTTCAGTATTAGACTTAAACCTTAACAATGACATTTCATTTCACACTTATACCTTTACAATTATCTTTCGCTGTCAGACCTATACCCTAACACTGATATTTTTCTATCAGACATATTTATAAATTGACACTGATATTTCGCTTTCAGACAAACACCTTTACACTGACGTGTCACTTTTAGATCTATACAATCATGTGTATAGCTTTACACTGACATGTCGCTTTTAGACGTAATTGTGTATACCTTTACACCGAGATCTTGCTTTTAGATCCTTTACACTGACATTTTGCTTTAAGACATATACATATATACCTGTACAATGGCATTTATGACCGTGATGTCGATCACAGAACGGCCTGAAACTAGTGTGGCATGAATGATGTATTGACATGTTATCAATACAATTTGTTCAAAACAAACAATGATATTTAAAATGGTTAATAAGGAGGTATTTTTGTCTGGTTTTTGCCTAGATGAAATATTCAAAGTAAATTTGCTTATGTCTTATATATTTAGATGTAAGAGATTTAAAACATCATATCTTTTCTTGCCTCATCACAATTGTGTAACTTTAAAAAGATAATGGTTAACAGAATTTGAAATCGATCAGGGACTACTTTCATGCTAACACTGAATCTCCTCCACTATCTCCACCATCTGAGGGTATTAAAACAAATATATATCAGATGGGAGCTCCAAAATGCCTGGTTATCATTTAAGTATGTCAGCTGTAAAATTACATATTAAAGGTAGAATTTGATAAATGAGCAAAATCAAATGAAACATTTTTAAAAAAAAAAAGGAATAGGGTCTGATTCTTTTGTTAACTAACCGTGGTCATCATCATCATCATCATCATCATCATCATCATCGTCATCATCCGCCATTGCAGTAAGACATAATCCTTTCGCATGAAACAAAATATTCCAGATAAATGAATATTTTCAGATTTATTATTACTGTGATCTTATGGGAGAGTGAGAAAGAGAGTGATACTTTATAGGATAGAAGTGGGCATTATCTTTTATAAAATTATTGGTAATAATACAATGCACATTTTAGTTAACGTGAACTTCGATAAATGTAACTGTATTTATGCAAATACACTGACAATAGTTTTGCTTAGTTTGATATTGCAAAAACAAAATGAAGAGAGTTTGAATTGAAAATTGTCATTTATTTTGATCTAAATAAAATAATGTTACTTTACACAATCATAAAAAAACATGTGAATAAAATTAACAAATTCATTTTGTTAAGCCAATTATCATGGGTGGAATGTTGTAAATTAAGATTATTATTTGAATACCTGTATTTGATAAATACTACTATTACTTGTATTATATAAAGTATGTATCATATAATTAAAATAATGTTATTATTTCTTGTATGCCACTGTCGATATAAAAGTTCATTACACTTATGTCAGAAATATCTACTATGACGTAATGATGGTATGGCGGCATATTTCTGCCCCTATGTGCAAGAATGTTAACATGCATGAAAAATATGTCAACATGCAAGATAATTGTGTCTACATGCAAGATAACTATGTAAGCATGCAAGTTACCAATCTTATCAGAGAATATAATTTTAGTATAGGTAAATTTACTTATTAAAGCCATTATCTGACATGCAAGATGCGACATAATTATGTTGACATGCGACTTATTTATGTGAACATGCAAGAGAATTGTGTGAACATGCTATATAATTATGTCAACATGTAGCCTATTTATGTTAACATGCAACATAATTATGTAGAGATGCGACTTGTTTATGTCAACATGCAAGATAGCTATGTTAACATGCAACATACTTATGTCAACATGCAACTTATACTGAAAGGAAAAAGAAACGCATAATAGCATAATAGCGAAAAATATAAAACTATGTGGCCGAAAATTATGAAAATTGGTCAGATGTGT